CAAAACACTTGTGAATTACTTTCTTTACGGCTTGTCGTCCTCTGATGATCCAGTAGGATTCCCGTAGCCGTCCTAATGTGTCTCGAACCCCAGCATGGAGCAGTCGACGGTGTTCCCCAGCGATGAGAAGGGTGGTGAAAGGGTGATCGGGCGGTAAGGACGATTGGGTGCTGCACATTCTCGCTGTTGTCACTGTGCTGCAATCGTCTACCTACTCGAACCAATCCGTCGCTGTGCAGGAATGGGTTCAAATTCCTGAGGGTCGATTTTCTGTCAACTTGTTTGTCTTTACGCAAGCTCGTGATTTCTGGTACAAAGGTCTCATTTTGTGCAATGGTAAGCCAATACGTTTCGGTTTCTATCAGTTCTTCGCTTGAGAGAGGTCCGCTTCGTTTGTCTGCTGTCTTGGCACAATTCTTCACGAAACGTTTGATCCAGGCAGTTACGCGGATCACCTTGATTGCCGAGTTGTACCTTTCCAAGTCAAAAACTGGAAACAGAGCTGGTGCAGTTACTTGTAACACCATTGCCTTTTTTCCTTCTGCTTTGTTGTCCGCAACCTGCCAAGCATTTTCCACTTGACTTGGCCAGCCTTCTTCATTGCCTGGCAGTGAAACTTGGTACCGTTCGTTTTCAAACTTTACGGATTTCTTGAATTCGCTGACCAACTCTGTCTCTCAAGTCTTCGTCACGTTGTTAGCTATTCCGATGTGCTCAAGTTCCCAGAATGATCCGAGCTGAGCCGAACTTTCCGCATTGTTTGTTTCGGACACAGTCACCCTCATCACTCCAGTTGTTGACGAGTAGATTGTCGCAGAAGTAGAGGTAAGGGGACCCTGAAGTGTCCGCCCGAGGGTGGTGTCGACTGCCATCAGCTTTCCATCCAAGCGCTTGACACCGCCGTTTACAATGTCCCAGAAGTGATCGGCTCCGATGAGAAGGCTGATTCCCTCCTCGCATGGATTGTCCCAGAGCTCCACGTCCGCGAGGTTCATTCCGTCAGGCAGCCCCCGTAGTTCCTCGGAGGGGTTGTTCATGACATCTGAGCAGATGTGAGAAACCTCGAGGGCTTCTATTTTTACGCATCTTCTGTCGTATTGGCTGCGGAGCCACAGTTCCACTCGCTTGCATTTCGTTTTCGTTGCTCCATCTCCAAACGTAAAAATGGTCACGTCCTCCCCACTTAGTTCCTTCAGGTGAAGTTTCTTGGAGACGGTTTGGCGAATAAAAGTCCGCTGGCTTCCGCCGTCGATGAGAAGTCTAATCCGGCAACGCCCTCTTTCACCTTCTGCCCAGGCTTGAGCTGTCTGCAGAAGTACTCGCTTTCCACTGTTCCTTTCTGTGTTGGTCATCTTGAGCGTTGACTGGAGTGTCGTTCCTCCCGGAGTTGATGTTTCACCAGTGTCCGACATTTCTTTCACCGTAGTCTTATGCTGAGGCTTGAAGTTCGGGTCGCACATGGCACTTGCGTGTCTCCCTGCACACTGCGCACACTTCAGCCACTTTGCACGTCTGCAATCTTTTGCTCAATGGTTTTTCTTGGTGCAACCATAACATCGGTTTTCAGCCTTCAAAACACGCTTGCGTTCGTCGTTGGTCATTGAGGTTGTGCAGTCCGCAGTCATATGAGCACCTGATTTACAGAACACACAGTTCTTTTCATCTAGGCCTGCTGCCGTTGTTAGTACAGATGCAGAAGGAGGATAACGACTCTGCTGATCTCTCCTTGCACGAAAGCTTCTTTGATCCTCGGTTCGTGGCACGGAATGTCCTGACCCATATAAACTTCTTTCTCGGCTTTCTATCTCGATTTTCAGGAAGTCCAGGAAGTCTCTGAGGTCGTTGTGCTTTGTCGCTGTTCGTGAGGTGGATCTCCGGTTGTACTCCAGGCTCAGATCGGCCGGCACGACCTTTCGAAGAACGGTAAGGAGCATCGTTCCATAGGTATCCGATTGAACCCCCAGGGCGTCAAGACTTCTAACTCCCGTCTCCACTTAATCGTATAACGCTCTGAGTGCAGTGACGTTCCTGGAGTCATGGACTGGTTTGATCTCTAGAAGTCGTGACAGATGGCTTTCGATGATCAGCTCCTGTTGACCAAATCTTTCCTTCAGGAGGTCAATTGCAACTTCGTAGTTCTCGGCAATTACGGCGAGTCCCTCAATTGCCGCAGCAGCTTTGCCGGTCAGGTAGCTTTTGAGGTACTTGAACTTGTCGATTTCCGAGAGAGTTTCGTTCTGGTGAATGGTGCAGTCAAATTGGCTCCAAAATCCTTGCCATGCTCGTATGTCCCCTTGGAATTTTGTTATCTCAAGTTTCGGGAGCTTCACTGTCATAGTCGTCCGACCTTCATTTGCGATAGTTTTGACGGCCGTGGTCTGCGTTAAAGAGAACCTGGCAGCGGCTTGTTCACGTTCTGTCAGCTTGTTTCGCAATCACGTCTTCGTTACGCTGATTCTTTCATGGGAAACTTCCGCGCCTGTCATCTCCTCTTCTATCGATTCGCAGTCCACGACTTCTTCCATCTCGCGGTCCAGTTCCTTTAACGTTGATTCTCTGGACACCAGAAGTTCAAACTTTTCTTGAAGCTCACCCGTATGCGTGTCTCCCGTGGCCAGCAGAACGTCGATTTCGTTCAGGAGTTTCGTTGTTGACGTTCGAACCTCTGCTCTTCTGCGTCTCAGTCGGTCGATTGTAGCTTGAGTTGTCATTTCTTCGTTCGGGGGCTTCGTTGGCGGTTAATCCCGGGTTTTCGGCACCAGAAAGTTTTGTTGTTAACGACAACCGCAAGGTTTAACCCAATACGAACTGTTTATTAGTATAAATCTACAACTCAAGCTTCGTTAAAACAGAGAAGAGTTCTTCCCGTGGCGTCTTTCGTGGCGTTCCTTTTCGATCTCTCTTGTTCCCACACCGGGCTGTTGCTGTTGCTCGCATCTTCCTTCTCTCTCCTCCGACCGACGTTTCAGATGCCGCTTCTTTCCCGGTCCGCTTTTCGCACCCCCAGATGGTTGATGCCAGCGGCAGACATCTCGTCTTGCTCAAGTTCGCCCGAGTTGGTGTAAACAAGACGTGAGGCCGCGGGCAAAGCTCAGTACGTCAGGTGCCAGTCGAGGTTACCCAAACATCCACGTGCTTTCCTCGTGCTTGTCTCTTTTTTCTTTGTGTGTGCTTATTTTTCGTCCTGTCTGTTTACGTTCTTACGCTGCGCCGTACCACGTGAGATTTATCGCCATCTCGTTGTCGGTTTTTCTGTTTCTTGCCCTCCCGAGCTCCGAGTCTTAGTTCAACTTACAACAATCTCCCCCGGAATGAGCGGGGTGCACGGTCATTCTTTTAACTGCAACGGGTACAGATGTTGAATGGGCCGGCGACGCCTTCCTCCCCCGGATAGCATCAGCTTACATGCTCTTGCTCTGCCGTCCCTTCCTTGAATGATCTCCTTTATTCTGCAGGTTTTCCACATGTGTCTCGGTAGGCGGTCTTCCTTTAGAAGAACTAGGTCACCAACTTGGAGTCCCGATGAGGCAGTCGGTTTGACGAGGTGCGCTGACCTTAGTTCGAGCAGATACTCACGCCGCCACCGTCTCCAGAAATTGTCCACCACCGCAGTGCGGTATTTCCATCTTCGAGCGAGCTGATCTCCAGCTGGTAGCGCTTCCGTTGGTAGTCGATGTGGCGGAAGGCTCGTTAGTTTCCTCCCCACTAGGAAGTGAGCTGGAGAAAGTACCTCTGGTTCCTCGGCGTTGGCGTGCACGTACGTCAGAGGGCGAGAATTTATGACGGCCTCGACCTCGGCCAGTACAGTCGTTAGTTCCTCAAAATTTAAGCTGCTGCGTCCCAACACCCTGCGCAGAAAAGCCTTGACGGATCGCACCAATCTTTCTCAAAATCCGCCCCACCAAGCAGCCCTCTCGACGATAAATTTCCAACGGATTCTGTGATTTGAGAAGTATGCCTGCACTTCTTGAGACCGGATGGCACGGAAGATTAGTTTAGGGTCTTTCGACGTTTGTTTGAATGTTAAAGCGTTGTCCGAATACACTGTCGTGCTGATCCCGCATCGTGCGACAAAACGCTTAAAAGCCAACAAAAATGTGGCGGAAGAGAGGTCACTCACCAGCTCCATGCAGTGGACCGCCCATGTAACAGTGCACGTGAATAAAGCGATGTAACACTTGCTGCTTCCTTTCTGTTGACGGCAGATCAAATGTCATGCGAAGTCTACCCCCGTGATGCTGAAAGGGTCGCTTCTTGTGACTCGGTCCGCCGGTAAGGGAGCCATTGGCTCGGATGCGGGCAGGCAACTTTGTTTTCGGCAGGCAAAACACTTGTGAATTACTTTCTTTACGGCTTGTCGTCCTCTGATGATCCAGTAGGATTCCCGTAGCCGTCCTAATGTGTCTCGAACCCCAGCATGGAGCAGTCGACGGTGTTCCCCAGCGATGAGAAGGGTGGTGAAAGGGTGATCGGGCGGTAAGGACGATTGGGTGCTGCACATTCTCGCTGTTGTCACTGTGCTGCAATCGTCTACCTACTCGAACCAATCCGTCGCTGTGCAGGAATGGGTTCAAATTCCTGAGGGTCGATTTTCTGTCAACTTGTTTGTCTTTACGCAAGCTCGTGATTTTTGGTACAAAGGTCTCATTTTGTGCAATGGTAAGCCAATACGTTTCGGTTTCTATCAGTTCTTCGCTTGAGAGAGGTCCGCTTCGTTTGTCTGCTGTCTTGGCACAATGCTTCACGAAACGTTTGATCCAGGCAGTTACGCGGATCACCTTGATTGCCGAGTTGTACCTTTCCAAGTCAAAAACTGGAAACAGAGCTGGTGCAGTTACTTGTAACACCATTGCCTTTTTTCCTTCTGCTTTGTTGTCCGCAACCTGCCAAGCATTTTCCACTTGACTTGGCCAGCCTTCTTCATTGCCTGGCAGTGAAACTTGGTACCGTTCGTTCTCAAACTTTACAGATTTCTTGAATTCGCTGACCAACTCTGTCTCTCAAGTCTTCGTCACGTTGTTAGCTATTCCGATGTGCTCAAGTTCCCAGAATGATCCGAGCTGAGCCGAACTTTCCGCATTGTTTGTTTCGGACACAGTCACCCTCATCACTCCAGTTGTTGACGAGTAGATTGTCGCAGAAGTAGAGGTAAGGGGACCCTGAAGTGTCCTCCCGAGGGTGGTGTCGACTGCCATCAGCTTTCCATCCAAGCGCTTGACACCGCCGTTTACAATGTCCCAGAAGTGATCGGCTCCGATGAGAAGGCTGATTCCCTCCTCGCATGGATTGTCCCAGAGCTCCACGTCCGCGAGGTTCATTCCGTCAGGCAGCCCCCGTAGTTCCTCGGAGGGGTTGTTCATGACATCTGAGCAGATGTGAGAAACCTCGAGGGCTTCTATTTTTACGCATCTTCTGTCGTATTGGCTGCGGAGCCACAGTTCCACTCGCTTGCATTTCGTTTTCGTTGCTCCATCTCCAAACGTAAAAATGGTCACGTCCTCCCCACCCAGTTCCTTCAGGTGAAGTTTCTTGGAGACGGTTTGGCGAATAAAAGTCCGCTGGCTTTCGCCGTCGATGAGAAGTCTAATGCGGCAACGCCCTCTTTCACCTTCTGCCCAGGCTTGAGCTGTCTGCAGAAGTACTCGCTTTCCACTGTTCCTTTCTGTGTTGGTCATCTTGAGCGTTGACTGGAGTGTCGTTCCTCCCGGAGTTGATGTTTCACCGGTGTCCGCCATTTCTTTCACCGTAGTCTTATGCTGAGGCTTGAAGTTCGGGTCGCACATGGCACTTGCGTGTCTCCCTGCACACTGCGCACACTTCAGCCACTTTGCACGTCTGCAATCTTTTGCTCGATGGTTTTTCTTGGTGCAACGATAACATCGGTTTTCAGCCTTCAAAACACGCTTGCGTTCGTCGTTGGTCATTGAGGTTGTGCAGTCCGCAGTCATATGAGCACCTGATTTGCAGAACATACAGTTCTTTTCACCTAGGCCTGCTGCCGTTGTTAGTACAGATGCAGAAGGAGGATAACGACTCTGCTGATCTCTCCTTGCACGAAAGCTTCTTTGATCCTCGGTTCGTGGCACGGAATGTCCTGACTCATATAAACTTCTTTCTCGGCTTTCTATCTCGATTTTCAGGAAGTCCTGGAAGTCTCTGAGGTCGTTGTGCTTTGTCGCTGTTCGTGAGGTGGATCTCCGGTTGTACTCCAGGCTCAGATCGGCCGGCACGACCTTTCGAAGAACGGTAAGGAGCATCGTTCCATAGGTATCCGATGGAACCCCCAGGGCGTCACGACTTCGAACTCCCGTCTCCACTTAATCGTATAACGCTCTGAGTGCAGTGACGTTCCTGGAGTCATGGACTGGTTTGATCTCTAGAAGTCGTGACAGATGGCTTTCGATGATCAGCTCCTGTTTACCAAATCTTTCCTTCAGGAGGTCAATTGCAACTTCGTAGTTCTCGGCAATTACGGCGAGTCCCTCAATTGCCGCAGCAGCTTTGCCGGTCAGGTAGCTTTTGAGGTACTTGAACTTGTCGATTTCCGAGAGAGTTTCGTTCTGGTGAATGGTGCAGTCAAATTGGCTCCAAAATCCTTGCCATGCTCGTATGTCCCCTTGGAATTTTGTTATCTCAAGTTTCGGGAGCTTCACTGTCATAGTCGTCCGACCTTCATTTGCGATAGTTTTGACGGCCGTGTTCTGCGTTAAAGATAACCTGGCAGCGGCTTGTTCACGTTCTGTCAGCTTGTTTCGCAATCGCGTCTTCGTTACGCTGATTCTTTCATGGTAAACGTCCGCGCCTGTCATCTCCTCTTTTATCGATTCGCAGTCCACGACTTCTTCCATCTCGCGGTCCAGTTCCTTTAACGTTGATTCTCTGGACACCAGAAGTTCAAACTTTTCTTGAAGCTCACCCGTATGCGTGTCTTCCGTGGCCAGCAGAACGTCGATTTCGTTCAGGAGTTTCGTTGTTGACGTTCGAACCTCTGCTCTTCTGCGTCTCAGTCGGTCGATTGTAGCTTGAGTTGTCATTTCTTCGTTCGGGGGCTTCGTTGGCGGTTAATCCCGGGTTTTCGGCACCAGAAAGTTTTGTTGTTAACGACAACCGCAAGGTTTAACCCAATACGAACTGTTTATTAGTATAAATCTACAACTCAAGCTTCGTTAAAACAGAGAAAAGTTATTTTGCGTGGCGTCTTTCGTGGCGTTCCTTTTCGATCTCTCTTGTTCTCACACCGGGCTGTTGCTGTTGCTCGCGTCTTCCTTCTCTCTCCTCCGACCGACGTTTCAGATTCCGCTTCTTTCCTGGTCCGCTTTTCGCACCCCCAGATGGTTGATGGCGGCGGCAGACATCTCGTCTTGCTCAAGTTCGCCCGAGGTGGTGTAAACAAGACGTGAGGCCGCAGGCAAAGCTCAGTACGTCAGGTGTCAGTCGAGGTTACCCGAACATCCACGTGCTTTCCTCGTGCTCGTCTCTTTTTTCTTTGTGTGTGCTTATTTTTCGTCCTGTCTGTTAACGTTCTTACGCTGCGCCGTACCACGTGAGATTTATCGCCATCTCGTTGTCGGTTTTTCTGTTTCTTGCCCTCCCGAGCTCCGAGTCAGAGTTCAACTTAAAACACGGCTTGCTGGTCGGCGCTGTCTAGGCAACCGGCCCACGCGCGGTTGGAAGCTAGCCGTTTTTTGCCGGAGAGAAAGGGCGGCATATTCGGGGCTCCAACTAACTATAGGTGGCGGCACTCATTTTCCAAGATGGCGGGTTTAGTGAGGGTCAGAGATGCGTGCCGCTGTTGAGCCTGTCTAGTGTGCTGGCTTCACTGAGCAACATATATTGTTTCTGGTAATACGAGGAAGCTAATGTTTTTCTCTTTTAACTCTTTAACCTGAAAACAAGAACTGTGTTTAGCGTATTTATTACGAAAGGATGAGCGTTTTAATTCTGGAGCGAAACCGAAACCTGCCTCTATTTGGGATTTAATTTCTCCATAGAGGTCTTAATTTCGCAATCTTTCATGATTCAAGATGTGTCTCACATCGTGATTATTTACTTAGAAAAGTTGTTCGCGGAAACTTTATTTTGTGACATACTGTTCGATCCAGGCTGATATTCGTAGTTGTTGAAAAAATCAGTGCTGATATCCGTGCGTTCTCACTGCCTTTTTCCCGCTCAGATAATTGTCATGGGAAATAATGACAATTATCCCAGTACAAGTATAAGAGAATAATTCCAATTTTTACAATATGTCTGCGAAACGCATAAACTAATAAACGCTGCTCTCGCTGCAACCCAAGATTGAATCCGAGTCAGACAGCTGAAGTGTGTGTGTTTGTGTTTTTATAGCACCGGCGTGACCCGTAGGACTTCATATTACATCCAGCGTTTAACTGTTTGTCTGTCTTGATAACTATGTCAGAGTTTTTTATATGCTAAAAAGTAAACAGAATTATACCTTTCTGGAAAGACTATTATGCTTAAATAGAGTATTCTCGTGATCTTGGCGTTAATTAGAGGCATACATTGCCGCGATTTGTATTAATAATAATAATATGAAATTCACATATTTGAATAAGGAATTCTTCAAGCTCTAATATAATTTGTTGCTTATGATCTAATTTTAAACGCGCGAAGAAATATGACAAAGAAAACTATGCTAATTATCGTAACTGGTTCCAATCGCTGCATTTTAATTGCAAATAAAATAAAAAAATAGTGTTAAATCGATGAAACCATTCTGGCTAATATGAGAAATCCATCCAAAATTACATTAATTGTGGGTAAAGTATATTGTGCTATCAAAGTCGCGACTTTTGACAACCGGCGAAACGTCCAAAGTCGCCGCAATATACTTCCAGACCAAATGCCCAAAAGTTAAAAAAAAGCTTTTTTTTTAATTACTAGTTTTATCATAACATTAATTTACTTTCGTATTTGCTCGCCGTCGTTTTGCCAATCTCACCCTTTCCAGTTCGAAGGAACGCCTACCTGCTTGCACGTCTGCTCACTGCAGCACGTCTCGTTGGCGTTGGAAGCCGGTGAAACAGTAGTAAGTTTTAATATTGCGTATACGAGCGAACTCAAGCCCTGTGTGTTTGCGTTAGCTTTGCGCGTTCCACATTGCGCGTGCGCGGAGCCCGAAATTGCGGTCTTGGAAGGCGCATGGTGATGAGGCGCACGCACAACGTGGGGCACGCAACTCTAACGCAAACGCACACCGCTGGCGTTTGCTTCTATGCATATTGCCAAAACTCTCCAGTAAGGTACAATCCTATACCGGCTGCAGCACTACGTTGAGACAGTAAAGAGTGTTGTTTGCATTCGGGAACGACATTTCGAGAGCCATGATCGCGAGCAGTTCCGCCATGCCCGCTGAGCAGGAGAATCGGGGGACCCTCACTAGAGCGCTTCCCGTTTCCGCCGCGGGAGGGCGAGCGTCGAGCTGGAGACGCGAATAGGAGGCTGCGTAGATCGTGATGTTGCGATGTCATAGCAACGTGCAAGCCGCTGCTCGGCGCACCTTTACGTTGGAAAGGAGCGTGGCGTGTTTTACTTTGCAATACTCATTTTCTCCTTTCCGAGCGGGGTGGTTCCTCGAAACTGCGACATTTTCTATTTCATTATGACAAGACGCAGCCAGATTTCATAGAGAAGGACGCTAAGAAACACAGCTGGAAAATTATCGCAGAGGAATTGGGAATAACAGGTGAGTGTTTTCGTTAGACTTGCTGCATGTCGCCTGCGCTCTGGAGTATGTCCTATAGATTTGATGACAGTCTTTGTCCTAATGAATGGCAAAATATATCCTGCAGGAAATGAAGCCACGAAAAATGTTTGCAACGCACACAATCGCTGGTTGAAAATTTCGTCGAAAATCGGCAACGCCTGCCAAAGTGGAGCAGGTGGGAACGCCGGAAAAGGCTTGAAGTCATGCGCTTTTCGATACTGTTGACGGCATGCTCTGAGGTGCTCCTCACTACGCCGAAAATGAAGGTGTCAAGCAGATACACGCTCAGCGCAACTTTGTGTGAGGAATCCTAATTACCGACTGCCACCTTCCAAGCAAATGTTATCGAGGGAGACTCGGCCGGAGCCAGAACCTGCGCCTCCTTGTCTTCAGAACGCGGCGACGTCGCACAATCAACGAGCAGGCTAGGGTGATCACGTTCACGCTGATCACCAGGACATCATCGACACCTGCCATGTGGTCAGCAAGTGCGGTTTCGACGCTGATCAATGAGATATGGGAGCCGAAACAGAAGAACCTAGCGAAGAGGAGACGACGAAAGCGCGGGAAATCCGGCGGTGAGTGTACCCTCGAGTTGGGACGACGGACGGTGGTGTTGCCCGGTGGCGCCGACGGCAACGCCGTTGAGGATGGTGTGGTCAGCCCAAATTTAGTGTACATTTTGGTGCCTGTCTTGAAAATGCCAGTGATGTTTCCGTTATTTACATCTTATGAATTTTATATATTTCTTGGTGAGTACAAAAAAGAAAGAATGTTATGTTCCCACCATAACTCAGAAGCCAATAGAAATCAGAAGTGGAGAAAAACACTAATCGAGCTTTCTTATGTAACAGCCTCCACAATTCTGTACAATGTGCTGTAAAAACGAACTTACCATTGCAATATTGTTACACAAAATTAGAGTAGTGTGCTGTATAAGTTCGATGTCAGAGTGCAAATTCTTGCATGTGTCTGCTACAGATGAGCCGAGTGATTTTGTCCTGTGTTTTCCGACAGCAGAGTTTCTAAACTAGATAGGTAAACTGCGCGATATGCTAAAGTCTCGCTTATGAGCACGCTTGAAAATGGTTGCATGAACAATAGGGAGTTTTCGAATAACGTTCGCCTTTTTAGCGCACGCTAGCGCTAAATTTAGCACTTGGGTTAGCGCACGCTACGCAAGAGAGTTTTAAAATAGCATTTCTCCGCCGCGACGCTAGACTCGGGCATCAGAAGGCACGCCACATCAGTCAAACTTACAAACTCAGTTCATATCGAACAATCCCCCTGCATTGGTACTGACCAACGAATCAGTTCACCGCCGAGTCCTTTCGTGTCCTCTCAAAGGCTCCGGCGAACACGTCGCTCAGAGCTGCCATGTTGCACTTTCAAGCCAGGAAAAACGATCAAGGCTTACATGGTGTAATGAACGGTGTTATGAATAGGCCCCGGACCATTTCCTAATGTCTGCATCGGGCCGTTTGTTTTCGCCGGACGCCTCCCGCGGGTTCAAGGTCATCTGACTCAGCGAGCCTGGCGCCATCATCGCTACGGAGGCACGCCTGCCCAGCGAACGCACGAGACGTGCGCCGAGATATATCCAGACTTTAACGTGTACAAGTCTGGATGTAGCCTCCGAAGAGGGAAAACAACGTCTCAGGTTTCACCGCCGAAACACCAGGGCACGATCCGGGACGATGAGATCATCCGGACGCCTTCATTCAACGCGTAGACACGAAGGGTCGAAAGGCGGCACGTCACGTCTCGGCCCCGGACGGTGTTTTGACCAGCTGCGTGAATTCCAACGAGCCGGTGTTTTTGGTGAAACTCTCGGCGCCGTCTAGACCGACGGTGAAGTGTTTACAGCGGCTGAGTGTGCGTAATCATGGAAT